CAGGATTCCTGCATATACCCTGAGTAAATTAAAGGGTGTTTCATGTTGTCGTTGCTGTGGACCTTCTTAATACCTTGGAAAATGCCGTTTAATACTTTTAAATACTTTTTAATAGCCTTAATTTTCGCTAAATTGATTTATCAACTTTTAATACTTTTTAAGACCCCGCGGACACCCTCTATAATGACCTCTTCAAATGTCTCGTTTTGTTCACCCTGGAAAGACACAGATACACGGCATGCAGTCAACCCTTGCATTGGAAAACCGGAGTATGCTTGGAATTGTAGGTCGATACTTCATTGAATTAATTGGCAAAATTAATCTATATATATTTTCATGTTAACCCACTTATTAAATGAGCAATAATTCTGCTCTATACAACAACACGAAGCCACTCACGCAACAATAATTACCTCTGCAGCTGAAGCGGCTCCACCCAGGTCCTGTTTGTTTGCCAGAACCAGCAGCGGCACCCCCTGGTTCTCTGCGGACCGGGCGATCCTGTGCAGCTCCACTTTGGCCTCCTCCATGCGCTCCGACTCAGCAGAATCCACCACGAACACCAGCCCGTCCGTCCTCCTGGTGTAGGACTTCCAGAGGGGCCGCAGTTTGTCCTGGCCGCCCACGTCCCACACCTGTAACGTGGTGCTGTTGCTTTTGGAGTTCCCCATGGACACTTTAATCCGCTCCATGTTGAAGCCTTTGGTGGGGATCGTCTCCACAAACTCCCGCAGCTTGAGTCTGTAGAGGAGGGCGGTTTTCCCTGCTGAGTCCAGACCAATCACCACAATGTGTAAAGACTGGAAGCTGGGGAGGAACGGGGGGTTGGGGGCGATTTCTGTTAACTGGTTCCCCATGTTTAGCTCCTGTAAAGGGAGATATTCCTTCCTGAGATTTATAGGACTTGAGAATCAGATGGGAATTAGTTTCTTCCTTGAACTCCCACTGTCTCCCTGAGATTCACGTGCAATCAGTGTCCTTGACAGCAACAAAAAAAAAGTGTGTCACTTTGGAGGCGACGGGAGAGAGAAGGAGGAGTCGTTTGGCTGGAGAGCAGGGCACACTCCAGGCCTCAGTTCAAAGGCTGCTTCAGGATAGAGCTGCAGTCACTGAGGACATGAGAGAGACAAGGGGGGAGGGGAGACATCAGACAGTTGTTTTAACAAGGGCTACCAGTAATTAGTCTAGCAGAGACTTTTAGTGCAGCTGAAATCCACTGCCTCAGCTTCAATTACACTTTTAACTTTAAAAACATCATAACATGCTGCTGGGTTCACCGTTTACAAAAACTGTTTTATGTAGATTTTGATCTGATTTGATTAAACTAACTCCCTTTTGTATAAACAGAACAAGCTAAACATTTAAAGCTTTAATTGTATATTGCAGCTTATCTTTTTGTTCTGACACAATGAATAGTGAGCCATTTTCAGGACAGGAGTTATTGTGGGCCATAATGTGTGTGTGTGTGTGTGTGTGTGTGGGGTGTGTTCCTGGTTCTAGCCGTCTCCTGCACATAACTGGAAAAACAGCTTCCAGCAGAGGAGAATCCTGCAAAGCCTGTTTTTATTATCAACTTATCTAAATCTGTGTTCATCCATCATTGAACAGCGATTTGGTATAGAAACAAAAAATGTGTATTATGCGGTTGTCCTGAAACAACCGTTTAAACTTGTTTCGGTTTGTATACATTTTGAGGCTTTATTGCTTGATGTGGATGATTGGCTTTTCCCAAAAAAAATTGATTTACAAATTCTTTCTCAAAACGGCTCACTTTAGACAACCCAATAGACAACTTTATAGTCAATAATCGTTATTCTATGTATTTTTTATATTCATACATCCAAATGTATAAAAGCAAACCCTACATTTTATGTATTTCCTAATGAGTTCCTTAATAGTTTTTAAAGACATCAAATGAATTAAAAATAGAAATGCAATTAAACTATTAAGCACAATTTAAAATAAGATGTATGTAAAAAGTCCTAGCCCTTTGTAGGTATGAATAGTCAATTGTTGTTATGTTTATTATTGTCTTCTGTATGCTCTTGTACCTTTTCGACTTTTTCTTTTAAAACTATGAAAGTCATGTTGTTGTACAAGTCTGTTTCCAATAAAAAGGTATTTTAAAAAAAAGTAGTCTCAACTAATGCTAATGCTAACTGTAGCTAGTTATATAAACAGGCTGTTCACGCTCCGGTTTGTAATTCGATAACTAAGACAGATTCAAACACGAGCAACCCAGGAAAAATACATAGAAAACATGTTATATAAGTAATAGTACAAAAAACAAGTAACGATTGAATAACGTAGTTTAAATTCAATGAAAAAGTAGGCAGATTTATTTTCTGTCTCTTCGCAGCGGAAGGACACACAGCTCCGCTATAACAAAGTCAACACACGTAGGTTATTTGTTGTAAAACTGCTGATATATCTCACCTGTGAGCGCTTCCAATATTGTTGAGCTTGTTGTTGCAGTAAGACGAATTGTCGAACAGTATCCTAGTTTTAACGCCAAATAATCCCGATACGATTGTTTTCAAAGCCGCAGGACGGATACTACTCCCAGGTTGGTCCGACGAAGACTGGGAGCGGGATGGATGCAGCGCTGAACGAAGCACGAGCGGAGCGAACCGACGAACCCCCGCTGCTGACGTCAGAGCCGTGGGAGGGGCAAAGAGAGAGAGAGAGAGAGAGAGAGAGAGGGAATGCCCATAATATCCGAAACACTCTTTACCAAAACTATCTAATAGCCTATACATCATCTACATTTTAATACATCTGACAATTGAAAAATATAAAATTAAAAGCTGTATTAAGGTAGGGAAGTGCGTATCTGCCTGGTACAACATGACTGAATCAGACTGAACTTCTCAATTTACACCAGGTCTCACGTCTCTTTTCCAATAATCAACAATTCGCCCATATCAATCATGTTGTTCCTTTTCTTATGTCACGTTATAGGATTAAGGAATGGGTTGGGGGTTGTTTTTAGTCGAATTTGTTTGTTCAAGCCCCAAAAAAGTCACATTGTTTTCCTTGTAAATTAAACACATTCATTCTGCTTATGTTCAAAATGTATAAATAAACACAACAATATTTTCCAAAAGTCTTAATTGTCATTTTTTGTACAAAGCCTGAAAAATACTGTATGTCATTATGTTTATGTTAATAAATCTATGTTAATTGTAATTAGAAATGGAAGACAAAAGTCTGTATTATCCTATATTCCCTGTTGGTTCTTTCTTTTCTTTACAAGGTTGGAATCTTTTCAGCCTTTTCTAATGATTGGAATCTTAAAAGAGCAGTTATTGAGTTGTTTGACAGCAAAGGGAAGAAGTAGGTGTGAAAACCTTATTAGAAAAACAAGGAATGTCATAATGAAACAAAATCTCAGTTACATCTGATCACTGTTTTATTTTTAACAATGTATCTGCATCATTTTCTCATGATTACAGGTTTAAATGGAACCTGAAAACGTAGGCGAAACTAAAGGTGTCAATAAAGTAAAAACAGTTCTGAATAACAGAGAACAAAAAATGAAACTGCATAATTTAAGTATAGGCTTCATGAGTAGAGTATTTACTTTTGACTCCCGATAGGTGCCTCATGCCTCCTGGGAATGTTTATTCTACTTTAAAGTTACTATAACTTTTTTGGGAGGGTCTTCAGAGACTTTATCTCTCTTCATTTGTCATCATCATGCAGAAGCTCCCTTACTGTATTCTACAGCTTGTCCATCATTGTCCGGCAAAATGAATCCTACCAATTCAATAGTGTTATATCAATTTAAAACATTTAGTTGAGAGTTTCTGGAGATGCTATTGCTTTTTACAAAAGTGAAATGATCAGTAAACAGAGATCCGAACTAAACTAAAGACGTTGTTGTTTATTCCAGAATTCAGAAAATCGTATGCAAAATGTTTGTAATAATGCAGTTAACAAGCCTTGGAACATGTCCTTACCCAACAATATTTGATTTAACACAATATGTAATTTTTTGTATTCTTTAATTCTCTATAACAATCTATATTTTAATATATATATATATATATATATTTGATTAGATATTTGAGTTTTTACCAGCCTTTAATGAGCATTTTACCCATTAGCCCCACCCGGACATGTCCCAACTGACAGAGGGGTCCATGAGCAGGAGGGGGGCTGGGGCGAGTCCGGACATGAATCAGACAGTTCACACTGAGAGATGGTGAGTTCTGTGGACATACCTAACCTAGTGACAATGAAACGTGGAATATTCATGGGGCCAGAGTTATTTCTGTACACTGGAGCTGATTTATCTGAAATCAAGTGAACTATAACCCCAAGGACTAAAACACCAGTGTACTTATTGTAATATACATTATATACTGTATGTTCAACGCGGTGCTGAAACTTATTATGTTTAAATACATCTTTTATTTGATCTTTTATAGGACATTTAACTTTAACTTATTTTGTTTGTGTACATTAATTGTATTATTATTTTTATTTTGTATTGCTTATTGTAACTATAATGTCTTATGTTTAAATATATTTTTTATTCTATTTTATTTGATCTTTTATTGAACATTTTACTATAAATCATAATATCTAAATATACATTTTAAAAATTATTTTTGTAATACTAAAAATTCTTATGTTTGTATACATATTTTTTATTCTAGTTTTTTTTCATTATTTATATTTTATTTATTGACTCTAGATAGAGCAACTCAACCCAATGTCCTCTAGGATGAATCAAGTATTGTGATGACAGACGGCAGTGAGTGACAGAACAGCTCCAGATGTCTTGATGAATTTTCATACAGTCCTATAAGAGAAAGTGCATGAAATCCAGTGCAACAAGCCAAAATGAATACTTATATTCAGAATAATCAATATTTCTGTTTCACCTCGGAGCAACATGTGTTAAAATTGAAAGGATCCGACTGATAAAGTTTCCTCTCAGTGACAGAAAGTCATCAGGGTCAGTGAGAGCCATCTGAGACACAATGGGGCGGAAGTATGGATTTGCATCATGATGATTTACGTGCTTCTCCCTTGATACCCAACACTCATCATGGTAATGCAATGGGTGTGCAAATGTATGTGTTTGTGTTTGTTTGTAACAAGACATGACCTATAGACTGACGAACTGGAGCGCAGGCTGCTTGTTGTGGAAGCCTGGCAGCATCTAACATGAGTATTAAAAGACACAAAAAATAATCATGACACATTCTTTTTTTTACATTTGTTGGTGCTGTTTGATCCTGCGGTGGAAAATGAGATGAGTAGAATGAAGGAAATGAGATGATGCTGTTGTCAGAAGCATACAAGCATTACACGCTGGCAGCAAATGGTCGGTACCATTTATAGTCCAGCAGCAAGTCCTCAAAAAAGGCTTTAGTTTTCAAGATACCCCTACCCGAGGTAGAACAAATGACAACAATGATTTTTCTTATCTTTAGGGTCTCCCATTAATGAAATTGATTGTTGTCAAATTTTATTTTGGGGGAAAAAATGTTTTTTAGGTTGATCTTTAGAACTACCCCAATCCCTGAAAAAGAGCCAAATTAGACCAAGCCGAATGTGGGAAAGGTGACAAAAAAGCCCATAACTTGAGAATGACAACTCTTTTCCTCTTCAGATTTGCTGAGGTATGAACCAGGTGGCTTTCCTACATCACTAAATAGTCAGACAATTATTTAACTAAAAAAATACTGAATTATAGTCCTGTGAACTTAGCTTTAGTTTAGACGGAAATTGTACTTTTTGGTGATAGGAACATAGGACTCAATCACTTTTCTCTCATTTATCAGAAAAACAGAAATCCCTAAAAAATATACCATTACTGAATTGTCTAGGGTGCTATTGAACACTAACCAGTAGTTGTATGGAAATATCTGGTACAGTTCTATTGTAAATAAGATTTCTTTAGACATAGACCTACCTCTTCTCTGAGACAGTCACATTCCGAATGGGGGATAAGTGGCATAAAAGCCTATAAGTTAAGAATGCTTACTCTGATGGTCAT